AAAAAATATATTTTATATAATTTCAACATTTATTAAATATATATCAATATTTACATTTCATTATTAAATAAAAATACCTTTTAATTCAATTAAAATATAAAATTTTAATATATTTTCGATTTTTTTTAAAAATCAATATAATTCAATTAATATATATATATTTTTTTAATTAAATATAAATTATAAATCTAAAAATATTTATTTCATCTTAATAAATAAAATATATTTTTTTTACTAAATAATTTCCAAAAAAGAATTCATTATAAATTATTCATATATTTTCCGAAACCCAAATCATAACATTTACTAAGAAAAAATCATACGAAATTCTAATTAATTAATATTATTTATTTATTAAATATATCAAATATAAATATATATATATATTAAATAAATATAAATACCAAATACCATTAAATATATATTAAATATACATATATAATATAAATATATATATATAAATAAATAAATAAATATACATAAATATAATATAATACATAAATAAATATATAATATACATAAATATAATATAATATATAAATATATACAATTGTATACATATATTAATTTATTGTTGATTTATTCAAATCATTTATTTTTTTAAAAATTTTCGTTTCAACCCAACTCATAGATCAACGTTAGGGACACGCCCGTGGGGCTAGAAGCGCCGGACCAATCGGCCCAGCTCAGTGGCCAACGCTTCGCACCTGGGGATCAGGGGGGAATCTGCGGAGATTTTCTGTGATGTATATATATATATATCTATAGAATGGTTGGTGGTTTTAACCATCTTGAAAAATATGAGAGTCAATGGGAAGGATTATCCCATATATGAAATGGAAAATAAAAGCCATGTTTGAAACCACCAACCAGATATCTTTATTTTAATAGTTATAATATACATACATCTACAGAGGTCTATATGCAAATGATCATGTGTATATGATCAATTATGTAGTATGATGTAGTATGATGTAAAATGATGCAATACGAATATGATGTAACATTATGTAATATTTTGTAATATCACTAATAGCAATATCTGTATACAGAATGGTACAGATGCGGATAGAACAGTTTGGAAGGCCTGAGACAAAAAAAAGGGGTTTCATGGGAATCTAAGCAGCTTGGGATGACGTCTTCTTATGTCTTTTGGCTAGTGGCTGTACAGCTAGGCAAGAGCGGAAGCTGCAAACAATACTCCCAGAGTACAGGTAAATAATTTGAAGGAATCATATCACTGTATCACACAAACTCCAGCCGGCATGCAAAAAGATGTGGACAACCAATTTTTTTCAAAGGAACCCGATCTACATTTGAGACAGACATCTTGAGACCATCTTCCCAAAAGCGCAACCTTTTCTAAAGTTTTCCTGACCCGCCTGGTACTGCTGTTCTGAAACCACATGTGACCTCCCTCCATTTTGATGACCTCAGTCGCGGAAGGTGAAGCGGTGAAACTCAAGCAGCATTCGGCATGGTGTGGCCTTTCAAACCATCAACCAGCTACAAAAATGCCAGAAATATGATTGAGACATAGATTGATATAACCTGATAAAAACTTCCGTTTTGAATATTTTTGCTAAACGTACAGGGTGACAACTTCTGCCCCTTCCAGGCCTGGAAAGTGTCTGGGTCACTTGAGAGATACTCCCATCGCTGCACATCAGACAAAGACCTAGAGCAGCAAGATCATATGGATATCCATGGGCTTATGAGGTGATGAATTACCCATATTACTGGGTCTCTGGGGTACTTTACATGATATATTATATATGTATAGTTATCTATAATTATAGTTCTTGAATCATAGCGTGTGTGTGTGTATATATATATATCATATTAATCTGGAATAGCAGGCCGTTGATTGGGATTCTGAGACTCCAGTCGATGTCCAACGAGTAGGTTGGGACCCATCATTGCAGCAGGCTCCTGCCCAAAACTCCTTCCAAAACCGTTGGAGAATGCCGTACTCAAAACAACCTGCACCAAGACCGGGATGGCGGCTAAAATTACCAAAATTGGTGGTATTTCCGGGCTTAGATTTTTCAAAGTAGGCATTTTGAGCAGAACACGTAAACAAGAATCCTGGGTTTGTCCAAAACTACCACACAAACGCGATGTTAGTCAATATTCTTGCATTTTCTTATCATATATTCCCCCCCAAAAGGGTATCCAACCGGTTTCCAGACCCATTTCCATCATTTCTTGAGCCCGGCACACGGCCGCATCTTCCTTCCCGTAGAAGGCAACTGCGCAGTTGGCGACGCGAGGCGACCATGGACCCTATGGCAATTGGTTCATGGGAAAAACAGAATGGACTATCATGACAGATAGTGACATAAAGCGCACACATGATGATTGAAGGATCACTAAATCAATCTAAATCACTAATTGTAGACAGATAGCCTCCATTATTTGGAGAAACTTACAGACTTACAACAGCCAACACATTCACCAGCAATGTCAGATTCCGGCGACATGAAACACCTTGAATACGGATGCGTTCATATCCTCCAAAATATACAAATATGAAAGGAACTGAATTGAGTGAACTTTCTTTGAATCCCCAGATTCTGGCTGAATCATGGTAATTCACCAACCTTGGATGCAAGTTTCCCCAAGTCTAACTAACCATCATTCCAGTGACGTCGAAGGGTTCGGTCGTCGCAATTCACCAACCTACCAGTCCCCAGCAGGTTTAACCAGCCTATAGGACAATGTAAAGCTTCTTCTGCACCAGGTAAAGGGAAATCCTTCAAGGCTGCGAGTGGGGCCATCGTTGAAGACTTTCTGTTTTTAATCCCAACCCCAAGAAACGCCCTTTTGAACATGAGTCCACTTTTCAGTCAACTTTTCACAGCATCCTATGAAGCATGGATCCCAGGACAGGAGCTAGTTGCACCAGGTGACAAATGGCCGAACATCTGAAAATACTCAGGCCGAATATCTCATAATCCCCCCGTCATCGTTGCTGATGTCGCCATCGGGCGACCCCACCAACATTTCCATACCAATGCATCACCATCCGAGAGAGATCCCAACCACTATTTACGAGTGATGTTTACTCCCTGAAAGAGAACCGTCTGCATCAAACATGGCATTGGAAGAGTCACCATTTCGAAATGTGGTGAGACCACGGCGCCGGAGCATTGCCGGAGCATTTTTTCAAGCGTAGCGTAATCTCTTTGCTTCAGGATCGATGACTTCGTCTTCCAAATCGTCCTCCTCCTCTTCGCCCTCCTCGAAATCTTCGAGATGCACATGATGCTCCTTCGGTGCCAACGTGTTGAAATGCCCGGCGCGACCCGGTTACCACCCCTTGAAAATATGTGCAAACAGCTTGCGACACTGTCCTGCTAGGTGAGGGTCTCTAGATTTTGACAAAGGTACAGTTCCTTCTTCTTCTCCTCGTTCTCCTCCTTCCTCCATGTGGGTGAAGACATTCCAGAGAAAATGCCAGAAAACATGTCAGAATTGATGTCAGATAAAATGTCAGACAGAATGTCAGACAGAATGCCGGGCTGGATGGCAGAAAGAATGTCACCAAGAATGTCCTGCTGTTGTGGCATTGTGTGTGTTTACGCTTGTAGTTCCATTTTTTCCTCCTCCTTCTTCTTCTTCTTCTTGTTGTTGTTGTTGTTGCTGTTGTTGTTGTTGTTGTCGTCGTCGTCGTCGTGGTGAATGGCTGAACAGGGTTGGTAAGAAAGCCGGGTACCTAGGAATACAAGCATCCTCTCAAACCTACGAGCTAGCCGTTGGTGAGAAACAATCCTTGATGAAAAACCAACACTTATATATTTGGCTTGAAAACACCTCAGTTTGTTGTGGATAGAAATAACATGAAATTGAATGAACCCCGCTACAACAGTCCTCCATGATGGCTCTCTCCCGCGCTTTGGCTTCCTTCAAAGCAGCTTGGAGAATCTCCAGTTGTCCAGATCGATAAATCTCAGCGTAGTGACATCTGGCCCAACCTTCCCGGCCTTCAACGAGCTCAGTCTGGGGGTTCCCACTTTGGATTTGATGTTGCTTCATGATCAGGTGCTTTTGAACGATGCTTAGTGCATGCAGCTCAGCGTGGCGGTCAAATTTCACCTTGAAGCAGTGGCTGTGAAAGAGCCTTGAAATGATGTTTAGGCTCCAAATGCCTCTATAAAAGATCATACAAGGGGGGAATGAACTTCTACCATCTCTGAAATCCATATAATATATAGCGACGGACATGCACTTAGAACATACTTTGGAAAAAATCTGAAAATCTTCACAGCGGGGATGTTCTAAGTATGGATTTCAACAAAAGTAGTTAGAACATACCCAAAACCTATACTTAGAACACTTCCAAGCTATACTTAGAACATCCCAGTGGGGAACCAATGGGAACCATACATATATGTATAAATGAGGCATCTCCAAAACATTCAAAATTATATATGATTCATTTTAGCTCATTTTAGTATTGAAACCTATGCTTTTTGACTACCCCTGTAGGAAACCCACAAATTACTAGAGACCTTCCCATTGCAGCAAAGACTGCTTGGGATATTGTTCCCGAAGAAAAGGTATATAATGCTGCAGCAGTGAGGGGAGAAAGTGTTCTAAGTATGGTGTTCACCAAGGTATTTGTGTGTATATATGCAGATTTACCAAAGTAACAGGACATGTTCTAAGTATATGTGTGTTTTAATGTTCTAAGTATGCAAAAATCAAAGGAAATGTTCTAAGTATCTGTTTTTCTGATGTTCTAAGTGAATACTTAGAAATATGTTTGATGTTCTAAGTATGGTAATTTTGATGTTCTAAGAAGAGGTTCCGATATTTTGGAAAAATGATGTTCTAAGTATATGTCCGTCGCCATAATATAATATAATACAATAAATTACAAAGTAATAAAATATAATGTAACATACTAGTAAATAATATAGTGTATAATAATTTAAAATATGATATAATAAACTATCATACAATTTAATTATATAATAAGATAAAATATAATAAAATATATGATAACAACTAATATAGCATTCAAAAAAACATAGGAAAACATAAAATTAAATTTTATAATATACTATAATATAATATTAAATTAGACACTATAATACGATACAAAAACATAACATAAACCAAATAAATTATAACAAAACATCATGCAATATAATTCAATAAATTATTTAATCAAATATACTTATGTATATCTATATATATATTTCAATAAATATAACCATCAAACTATATATTATCATCAATAAAATAAAACTATACATAGTATACATAGTATACATAGTATACATTGTATGAAAATCATATATGTACAATATAATATATTTAAAATCAATGATAAGATATAATGCCTAAAATAATTTAATATTAAAATATATCATATACAATTTTTAAACATATACTATCTAAAATGCATAATATATAACATATGATAAACATATGCAATATATAATATCAAAGAAATATTATATAATGATTATAATAATATATGTATATATTATATACATTTATGATAAATAAAATTTGAAGAATACAACATAAAATAGATATTGTTTTATAATTAATAAAATAGAATATACTAAAACATAGTATAGTGAAATAGAACACATTAAAATATAATACAATATAATATGATAGCAGTGACATCAAGCATACCCCATCATGGCTCCATATTCACGAACATTTTCTTCAATAGCTAGCCACTGAACGAGGGGGTGCGACAAAGAGCGACTTATCCTCGCAAAAAGTATAAACATGAATCATGAAGCATCAAAAAGGATCATCTTCCATGAAAAAATGAATGTGGGTTTGTCACAAAATGGGCGACCCCGAACAGATTCACCTTTTGGCAAACTGTTTTCCCCGTTTAGACCGCCATAAAATTGGCTATACTCCATTTTGGACACACCCATGTAGATGGATGGAAGAGAAACCAGAATTGAAGCCACAAAGCACAATATCCAAGTCAACGTTTGCATTCCAGATTTGCAGCGGATGCGCGGTCACCGAGGAACATCTATAGGGGTCGTCAGCCTTGACAGTATCGTTTTTTCTGACGAATCGTTTTCATGGAGGAGAACTCGAAGGCTTCTGTCCTGAGCACAGTGAACTATCCACACATCTTATAATTTTACCATGGTTTAGCTTTTTTGGTCTGCGGGACCAACGCAAACCAAGTGTTGGACCGTCCCAGAATTTACTGCTGATCAAGTATCCTGTAAAGTGCTAATTCGTAGCAAAGCAAGGAGTCTTTCCTCAGTTGGTGGTCCCTGCAGGCTGGATACACTCCCGGAATTCAGCAGCAGTCTGACCCCGCTATGAATAGCTCAAATCCCTGGGACCTTAGGTACCCCAAAATAATTGGTTAATAGTTAATGGATAGTAATGGGTGTTCATTAGGGTACCATATTAATGAATAATAGTTAATGGATAGTAATAGTATGGATAGTCCATTAATATTTTTAATGGATGTTCATTCCATATCATTCCATAAAAAATATGATAGTAATAGGCCATAGGACCTATACAGTGGTCCTAAAAATGACATATATGACATATTCAACTTATTCACCCCGTCTCAGTTCTAAAGTCATCATTTAGGACGTGCACCTCTTCTCACCATGGCTCAACAGCTGCTTACACCGAAAGAATCCATTACGGGGATCGCAAATCTCGACCAATGCCGTCACAAACCCTTGTGTAATCTAGCAAAGCTATGGAAAATTGTCCATTTATAATAGATGATTTAGATTTACCTTTCGAAAATTGTAACTTTCCAAAGCTATGTTAGATTACCAGAGTGGACCCTTCATGCCCCTGTAAATTTTTCCTTGGACGTTCCAGGCCCCTTTGCAGGGGGCTCCTGGTAATTATACCAAGATTCTGGCAGCAAGTCAGCTCTGGATAAGTCCACTACTTCACCCTCTACCAAACCTTGAGAGAAGGGTAGAAGGTAGCACCATGTGAGCCATGCTCACACCTATCCTGTGGGGATCCTTTTAATGGGTGACATCCCTAGTACTGGATTGATGAACATCCCCCAATATGGGTATACAGTCCAACTTTTAAGCGTGGCCCAAGGAAAATCCAAAAGTCTGGGAACTATTCCAACTACTGTATTTCTCGAAACCTACCTGAAGTGCAGGGGAAATCAACGAAGAATCCGGCTTGTCAATCTCATTGTGCGAGATTTACCCTCAGTCTTTTGGGATTCTCAGAGTCAGCTCCAAAACCAGCCGCAGAAGCCACTGTGCGGTGCATGGAAATGTCCGGAACACGCACTTTTGAAGTCTGTCACAAGGAGAAAGACACGAAGATGGGGCATTTAGATCCAACGCGCCGCCCGCCATTCCATTTCTTTGCATTTCTTTTCCACCCTTCCCCCAAAAAATCCATCCCCGCCCCGGCACTTCCTGCGCCAAGGCAACCCGACAGCTTTCGCGCCAGTTCTTGCTCTGGCGACTCACCAGCAGTTTTCCCTGGAGGGAGCTACAATAGATATGGTATGCGGATCCAAGAGCTGCATGGGTATACTTGGGGGTGTGTTTGGGGGTTATTAATGTGTATAAACATGGTAATTAGTAATAACCCCTATAGATTGGGATGTAACGTGATGTAACCCGAACTATCGCAACTATTCTGCTGAAGTAGAAGGATTAGCAGTTTGCCTTGACTGGTTGGACAGGAAATGAGTTCCAGTGTCAACCCACTCCAAGAAGCACACCTGGGTCTATGTCAACAATGCGACCCTTGGTAGCAAAGATGTTGCTTTATCTTACTGTAAGCATAAAACCGTCCCATTGACCTCCTATTGCCTACTATCATCCAATTGGGGACTATAAAAAAATCATGGCAAATCCATAATCAACCAGAAATTGGAAATAGTTGGAGATGGTTTATGGCATTGCGGATCCTAGATTACCCAATTTTGACCCAAACCCACTTCAAAACACATATTTTTTCATATTTTTTCAACACTTGGCAGGCCTAGTTTCAGGGGTAGCGTATCTTGCGGGTTGTCCGGCAAGCAAAAACCGTGGCCCAGCAAGAGCTGCAGATTGGATCCATGATTTCCTGGTTGGTGGTTTAAATCCCTGAAAAACTATGAAAAACAACTATGAAAACAATTTTGGGATAGTATGAAATTTTCACCACAAATCATTATTTATGAACATAAATGAGCATAAAACTGATATTTTAAAGTTCCCAGTTTCCATAGTTGATGAAATACTCCTGCCCCTTGTTTACACCAGAGTCTCGCGCCAACGCCAGCTGAAACCCGTTTTTGTCGGAGCGGAGGCCAACGTGAATGGTGACGTTGGGATCATGGTTGCCTGTATCCAACAGTGGGCATAAAACTGCATTACAATCGTGCGACAAGCGTGCTGCCTCATTCGCTGTGAGGCGCACATAGTTCATGGTTTCCTTCAGGGGAAATGACGCATCTGAGATGCTTGGGGCGAATCAAAGACCATGGATCAAGTATCATAAAATGTCAAATCTGTTATATAAGAATGAAACATATGGGTACGCGTCAAAATTGGGTACCCCAATAGTCTTATGGTGACTACTAAAGATAGACCAAACATGACAAAACCATCTTTTGACCCGACAATCACCCGGTCCTCAGGCACCACTTCCCCGCCCCCCAGGAACTTCTCCAGATGTGTTTCCGCAAAGCAGCGCGAGGCCAAGGCGGAACGCGCCCAGGTGAACGAGGCAAAGCTGTAGCGCTCCTCTGGGAACATCTCCGGCAGTTCTTGCCTCGAAAGGAACCAATAGCTGGGTCAGATGGCGGTGAAAAGAGCCCCTCATTACATATAAATATATATATATAAATATCTATCTGTCTGTCTGTCTGTCTGTCTGTCTATTTCTATCAGTTTTTATCTATTTCTATCTATTTCTATCTATGTCTACCTATTTAATTTCTATCTCTATTTCTATATATTTCTATCCTTTTCTATCTATCTATTCACGTCGCTTCGCGACGGCAGCCGCCCGCACCGCATCGTTGGGCAGCCGCTCGTAACTGCCAATGATGTCGGCCATTGAGACCAAAAACATCCGAAAGTACTGATTGTCGGAAAAAAAACGCGAAGAATTTGATAGCCATGTATAGCGGACCAACGCAGTTCAAAAAATAACGAAAAACATGAAAAAACGGCGAAATTGCTGTTATTTACAGTGTTTTTGCGCGGTGAGAAGCAGAAACCACTGCAAATACCATGGTTTTTGAGGGTCAGGTGGCCAAAAACACTGTAATTTACAGTGTTTTTTTAACCAACGTCAAAAAACACTGGTATTTACGATGTTTTCATTCACACCGTAACATAAAACAGCGTAATTTACAAGGTTTTTGGAAGTTTTGAAGCTAGCCGTCAAGCATGCAGAAAACAGAAAAACACTGTAAAAACCAGTGTTTCTGCTATCACAAAACGACGAAAATCAGTCCGAAAACGGGTCCAAAAACTCAAAAATCCGCCTCCGGGCCCGGCCACCTGCGGAACCGCAAAAAAAGATGTTGCAAACCAAAAAATTGAGGTCAAAAAGTTGAAAAACACGGGTTTTTTTCACTTTTCGCTTGCCGATTTTGGACGGGCGCGTTCACGAACAGGTGTCTTCCGTACTGTTTTTTACAGTGTTTTTTGAAGGCGAGCGTCACGACCTATCAAAAACAGGAGGTTTTGGCCGAAAAATGCCCCCCCCCCCCAGGTAAACCTGTAACCTTTTACGAGTGCCATCCGGAAGATCACGCCCCAGCACCTTCGGTGCGGGCGGATTTCTATCTACCTATCTGTCTAGCCATTAAACTATCCTAGCTACCTAACTATCTACCTACCAAGCTACCTAAGTGTCTAGCTATCTAGCTATATAGCCAGCTAATGCCAGCTATATCTCCAGCTATATCGCTATCTATATCTTTACCAGTAGCACCGCGCAAGGCGGTGGCGGAAGTTCAAAGGTAGGAAACCTATAGGAGAGCTTGGAAGCTCCGTGTGCTGGGTTTGAAGCTACCCTTTTTCTATGGGTTCAGAAAGTGACGTTAGAGACTGCCGTCTCTGGCCTGGAAGGACCTGGGAACATTGATATCATCTTACATTACCCTTGTGCACACTCCGTGTCAGTTTGAAGTTCCATAGGCGTTTGCAGTTTCATGGGGGTTGGAATTGTTTGGGGGAACTGTAGTTGGAGAGTTGCGCAATCCGGCGACCCGAGTTGCGCAAGCAGAGTGGCACATCCTGGGAGTTGCGCAAGCAAAGTTGCGCAATCCTAGTTGCGTAATCCGACGAAAGAGTTGCGCAAACGTAGTTGCGCAATCTGGAGAAGTTTCGGAATCGGACTTTATCCTGGATGGAATAAACCATGGGTTATTAAGTACTGTAAGGGGTACTCTCCAAATTTAGTGATAATCTAGAATTTAGATAGTACCCCAATGAAACAGCCTGGAGGTTTATTAAATCCAGAGTTGACATTCTCGAAAAACAAGGGTCCAAGTTGCGACAATGCCGGGAAAATGCTTTGATGAACCAATCGCAAGAGCGCTTCATGTCGCTCGACCTCATGCAGTAACTGCGTGCCCTTCAAGCGGGCCTGCCGTTCACGCTGTGTCCAGCACAGGGGATCTTGATGCTTGGAGGGTATCTGACCTGGCGATCAGGAAGGTTGGGGTCCACAACGAAGTGGTTCTCCGAAATACAGGGGAACCATGGGGACCCCAGAATCCAAGGGTTCAATGTTCATGATTTTCCCATCAAACTGCCAAAGTTGGGTGATTTTTAAAACCAGCTTGGCGGATCTTAGTCGGGAATCCCAGTCAAGGAATTGGGGAAGGTATCAACCATTGTGGACCTAACAAGGTTGCTTGGTGAAAAAAAGGTTCCGCCCAAAGTTCATCCAAATCCGCGGCTTCTAGTATCCAGTCGCATATGTTCACATATCAATAGTTATATATATATGGAAGTGAAATGGCACAGCAGGGATCTTTGCAAAATCATGCAAACTAATGCAACATATACATTCGAGAGCAAAAGGGATGCGAGTTGATTTGGGCCAGTGCAAGGCCATTCAACCAAGCATATACTGCAGCATCGAATAGGCCGAGAAACGCAAATATGGATGCCACTTGCTGGTAGCATCGTGCCAACCGTGAATCATCACCACATACATCAAGGCCTGCGCGCTCACAGGCTGCTCGCGGGTGGTTTCGCTTCTCAATAGCGCCTGGCCTCTCAGGTGTGCGTTTTGAATCAACGGTGGTCGACTGGTTCACCATGACCATGATTCATAAGCACCTTTCGTGCTCATGGAGAGTGATTTGACATTTAGATGTCTCAAGTTGCCTCAAGCTTCAGATTTTGGGCACGTTTAACGTTGACCATCCATTTTCTTGGACACACCCTTATGACCAGGATTCATATCACATTTCCATTTCTGGTTGGTAACGTAGTGAGTGTAAAGTCTTCGGCGTCTTCATCTTTGAAGGATTCATCCCTATTCCCAAGCATTTTTCATCACATCCCTAGTTTGGGTATTTCATTGGCATCTCGTTCCCAGTTTTTCACTGGCTGGGATTTCACCAGGTGGATGAAACAACAGCCACTTGGCCGTTCTGCCACTGGCATGGTCACTATCAATTGGGACAATCTCGAGTAACAACGGGGAGAATCTACAGATAGCCTGGAAACAAAAAAACCCACAGCTGGGTATAATATATATATATTATATATATAATAACTTATCAGTTAAACAAATGTACGTATCTCCACTGTATAATAATGTATAATATTTATTTACTAATTACTAGTTTTACGAGCAGGTCCGACTTTGAATATACCTGTGTACAACTATACGTAATCAAATACCACATTCTAGCACATCATTCTATCGATTCTATCATCATACCTATACCTTAAAAAAATCTAACAAACGTATACCGAAGAACAATCTCTCGAGGCTCCTGCAATGGATCTCGCAGCCACCGGGACCGTCAACACCAGGTCCAATGGGATGGCGAGGGCGACCTCATTGGGCTCCACGTCTTTGGTGGCTCTGAGCCCCAGGCCTCCGCCGGAGCAGTTCTTCGGTGTGGGGAAAATCTGGGAAGACCTACGAGATATATATATTCTATATATGATATATATATGTATATATATATAATATATATGGGATCAGGTCCTGATGGTCCTGATGGTCCTGATGGTCCTGGTTTTGCTGACATTCGGATCATGATTTCAAGGAACAAAATGCGTTTTCATGATCTTTCTGAATCAAATTTGGAAGACGGGTTGTGAATGTCAAGTAATTACTGAAGGTGTTCTTTTGAGGTTCTGACGCATTGCCCTGGAGAACCGCATCGAAAAACTTTTATCTTAACATATTGTGGGCAACACCAACGGGATTTGTCTGCAAGAAATCGGGAGAGTATAGGAAGAATACTTGCGATCTTTGACCGTTTTGCGGATCTGGATTTCGCTAACTATAATAGAAATAATTATTCTGTTTTCACACCAAATAGGGATCTGGAGACATCCACCAAACAATCGGGATATACAATGGGGATATATATATATACAGTAAAATATAGATGAGGCGTGACCTGCTGAAAAGCGCAACACATTTCAAACCCAACTAATGCACCATCGGAGGTAGCGGAGATTGTCACGTTGAGGTATCGAGCAACACCGACTGGTTGGTGGTTGAGCCAACAATCCACCGAAACATTTGTCACTGGGTTCTTTAATCTCATTTCTTCGGATGGGAAAGGAACATCAAACATCATAAAACCCTTTGATTTTGAGACGAAAAAACCCGATCGCAGATGGAACCCACTGAACCCCCATTAGCTTTGGAAGATGACTAAGAAAAATCTTGGGCAGAAATGGCCAAAGGTTGGCAGCGTCCAGAGCCCGCAGTGACAAGAAACCAAAGGCTGTTGAGGCCACTTGCACTTTCTCCATGACACAGTTGTGCCTGCGGTTTTTTCGCCAAAAATTGTTCGTCATATTTTTGATCATCATCCTCTAACTATGGAGGGAAACATGGTTTGGGGGGATATAACTAACATTAACGAACACAATCAAAACTAGTCCCCCAGAAAAATAGTTGGTTATGTTATGTTATCTCTTTTTTGTGGAGGGAAACATTGAACATATCGGAGACTGCCAACTAGGCGCTCATTGCACCAGTCTTCAAAGCGCCGAACCACAGCTGCTTTGTCTGTCGGATCGTCACTGTCCATGGCGCCAAACACACGGCAAGAATAGTTAGATTCAAACTATGAGAAAGTTGACATGATTTTCCACAAAAATGTTTTAACCAGGTGTTTTCCTGGAAAATCACTTCTGAATTCGCTATCTTGATTTTGCCAACCATTTTGGGATCCCATTGCCATTGCTCATGGTGAGGTCAGCTAAAGAGGTCCCGATCGAAGAAACCCAGAGTCATTTTTTACTCAATTCACACCAACGCACCACTTGAGCGGATTCACATTGGACAGCACCATGGTATAGTATACTACACATATATATATATTATATTCAATGTATTATTTCAATGTGACATATATATATATATGGTTATACCGTTACACCCATGATGATATGGATGATACATATTGAATATCTGCTGCGAATGTATATGACATCTTTCATTTTGAAAAAAACAACATATGGTGAACTGCTACAGGAGTTGAGGATAGCCCAGGCTTCTCCATATCAGGTGATTTGAGTGGCCATGGGGCATGGGGCATCCCCCAGCGATGAGTCACAATTTGACAATCCATCATAAACCTGCTAGTTATGGATGTATCCTGCCATCAAAAGATAATCCCTAGGCCACATGGATTTTGAAAAAGTAAAACTTCAAAGCTCATCCTACATGAAATTGTCTGTGTGATCCAACGATCTTGGAACCAGTTTTTGGAGGGTGTCAGTTTTCTCAGCAAAAACCTAGACCTTGACAATTTGGGAAAGGATCAATAGCTATGGAACCTGGGGTGATGAAAATCTATGTATCCAACAGCTACCAACAGCTATGTTGGTGGCTCAACGCTGGGTATCAGTTGGCCTTGTGTTGTCATGTATCAGCAGCCACATGCAGGTCCTTGGTGATCCAGTGATCGATGATCAGAGACCTAGCCACCGGCCAAAGTTCTTGACTTTGGTACGCCTGGTAACCTCAGCACTGGCCCCATGGCCCCGATGGCCCTTGACCATCCCAAAAGGCGTTTGAAAGCCAATGGGTTTTTGGCTCACGAGAACCACAGGGTGGGCTTGTCTAAACATTGGCAAAACCTTCTTCCATCCACTATAACCTAATCATCGGCTTCCCTATGAACCTGCAGAAATAGCCCTTTGTTGATCTTTGTTGGGTGTGCCCTATTTGATCACTCGGATCTGCCCGCAATATATATCTGGTTGGTGGTTTTAACCCCTCTGAAACATTATTATAAGTCAATATATGGAAACATAATAAATGGTCCAAACCACCAACCATATATATATATACATAATCATCATAATTATATATACACACATCATCTGATCACCCGCACTATGCCCAGCAGCCCATGTGGCTCTTGTACGCCATCTTGGGATCGCATCCCCAGCCACCCTCATGGCGGAATCGGCTCACCCATGGAATCCCCTGCTGACAAAAACAAACGAAATAGCTAGGATTTATGGATTATGTTTATCCCCCACCTATATCCAAATATGTTATGTGATGGTATGTGTATACATAGGTTTTGATCCATCCCCATTTGTGAGTTGGGGGATTCGGACCATCTCTGGTTGTCATGTTTTGGTTCCAAACAAGTTTTTTTGACTTGCATGCTCTAGTTGAATCTCCGAACATTTCTGCTTTGTACCCGGCATGATGAATGAGTCATGTTCCCTCGCCTGGTATAGACTATTTGACTATTCATTGATGAGTAAGATGCTGTGCAAGTACCCTCTGTCCCATTGACGAAGCTTCCCCCTTCCAGGCGATATCAAATGATATCAAACCCCCAGTTGCCTAACCATTCACAAACCTGAAACAAACCTTGGCTGCCTTGGCTTTGGGTACGTGGAGGTACCTGCTTGTGACATCATGTAAATTTGGGTATGGGCAGTCAAACCTATGGGACCATAATTGGATATAATTGGGATTTTACCCAAACAATCGATGTTTATCAATATACTGGGGTTGTGACCCATATATTTTGTAGCATGAGTGAGGTTGTTCACCCAACTTCTTTCCCCCTCTCGCCTTCACCAAGTGTGTAAAGATGCGTAGCGGAACGCACAGTTCCTGCCTGAAGCTGGGCCCGATGACTTTCTGTCTCGCTGGTCATTTGGAGGTCAACAAAAGGGGACTTGTACCCTCTCTCTCTCTCTCTATCTACCTGTATATATATATTATATAATGATGTAACGTTGTAAATCCAACAATAAACTTAAACCATCCCCAATTGGGGTTAATTAATTGTAGCATTTGATGATGTAGAATGACCACCAAATGGTTGGTGAATGGGATGGCTTACTGCTGGGGAAATCCACATTGTTTATGTCTCCTCAAAGTGGATTACTCAAAACCCGTGGTTCCGTGTCACAGTGGTTCATCAGGACTTGGGCCAGAATCCCACTTATCACTTAACTAGCCCCGTGGTCCATCGAAGTATACAATGATATGTGGAGAATCCTAATGCCACAATCTTCTCCAGGTACATGTGTATGTGTATGTGTATGTGTATACACATATGTATATATATATATAAATGTATATGTACAGTATATATGATATATATTGATATATTGATATATTGATATATTGATTGATTGATTGATTGATTGATTGATTGTTTGTTTGTTTGATTGATTGATTGATTGATTGTGTGAACTCCCTAAGACCAATTGGATTTCATCATTGTAAACGGGAAGAAGCAGAACGATTCGCGGAAATCACCAGCGCGCGATTGGCAATTCTTGGGGGTGATGGGTTGCTGACTTCATAATCCTTTCTTCTTGGCTTATTTGGCTATGCTAAGGTACTAGTGAACCCAGAGGATCCATCTTTTTAGTATTCGACCATCCAATTTCTGGAAATTTTGAGTCATCCCAAATGAAATGGCCGCGGACCATATTCCATTCATTTACCCTCTGGTTTCATCAAATCTGGCAGTGGACAATGCACCGTTTCTTGATGATGTTCTAACTAGCCCTTCCATTTTCGGGAATTTCCCACTGACATGTTTGATTACGAAAGAGTATATAGCCACAACGTAGCTATCACCCAACCATGCCTTCTCTTCAGTGTGCTCAGGTCAGCTTGCACGGAGCTATTTGGTACAGCGAAATTGCTCACAAAGAGAGCCTGGCATCGATCATCCCGGTCTTTGTCGAAAAGATACCGTTGGAACCTATAAGATGACTAGCATGGCCCGCACCGACTGGATCTATTGGGGTGAATCACTGTTCTCCAAAAAAAATAAAGAATTGGGATCCCAAATCCACTGTTTTAGCATCGCTTTCCCATTCTGCTGGAACTTTCAGGTACACCGCCTTTTCCGAAGAAATCTACTAGACGCTTTCACATCCAAAAGCAACAAAAACATTAAACCATGATTCCAAGGGTCTCCCCCTCCAATCTAAGAGTAGTATACTGTCCAACGCAGCAAAAACCAGGTCCAACATTGTCCAACGACGTCTCTGAAAAAGATTCTTAGAGGGCCTTCACATTCACGTTGTAGTTGCTCCTCAAGAGCTTCGTGACATAATACGCAAAGTGGGATCCCTGCGAGTGCGCGAAGATGAAGTTCGAGCCACGGCGCATCTCCTACAGGTTGGGCTGACTTGGATGGTTTGAGTTTTTTTTTAATGGCAACATTGGAACGCTCTTTACCTAAACAACAAATGGACCTAAACATCCGGTGTCACATGGGTTTCAAAGGTTTCCCTGCAAGGTTTCCCTTCATCCCAGAGGGCAACGCTGTGCAACCTACGACACCTACGACTGCGAGCCCGGCGGATTGGAAGATGTTGTGACCCAGGGATTTTTGCCGACACAGTTTTCAACTGACTCTGTGGTTGCTGAATCTGAATTGTGAACATTTCGGTGTGGCCTTCCCTGCTACTCTGCTCTTTCCTCGATGAAGCACGTGATCTCGTCCCACTGACAGCTAGACTTCTGGCGACATTCATGGGCCACGAAGCCATTCATTTAAATATAAATATATACCGTTATATGTAAATACACAAATGAACTTGGATATAAATCCTATTCTATTAAATCTTGAAGTATGTTGGAGATGCGAAATGCAAGGCGATCTTTTCCGTTTCACGGTTTGTTTTAGCCTCTGCACTCTGAACTGCTTTGTCTGCTTGTCCGAGAAGGGACACATTGCCCGAGTTCCCCCGTTCATTGTCCCCTCGTATTTGAACAACGACATAGTCATCATATTACCCGCTGGTAAACTAACATAACTATGGAAAATCACCATGTTCAATGGGTAAATCCACTACAAATGGCCACTTTCAATAGCAAACTGTTAAATTACCAGAGGGTATCAACTTTCATCCTTGTACATTTGACATGAAGGGTACCCCAAACCCCATGGTGCATCATCATTGGACTAATCCATCAGACCACATATGAAGACGGTCTAACCCATATGTTATCTATGAATAGTATCCAAATCGAGAAATAACTTCGATCTCAAACCAATTATTGCATATCAAGAATCATCCATGTCATAGAACACAATTTCTAGAATCTCAATACCAATTGATATTTATCTATTGGATATTCCCTCCTTAAAATCATCCATGTCATCGACAGTGATACCACGGAGCCCACCTTGGCCAAAGTCATGGCGATGACTTTGATGGCGAAGAGACCCGTCCTCAGAGCGCTCGTGAGACTCGTGAGCCCCGGAAACCCATGGCTTTTTACTATGCCATCTACCGATCTACCGGAGTTTTCCATCGTTTTCCACAGTTCTCTATGGTTTTGGCATGTAAATGTCATCATCAATAGATGCAACTTATAGATATAACACCGATGAAATTCATGTTTTGCATGATATTCATGGATAAACCTATGAATAAAACTATTCAGTGAAATCTCTTTGGATTCAGTAGTCCCTGCGTACGACCTTGACCAAATTTCAACAGGAAAGGCAAACATATATCCAGAATGCTGAAAACCCAGCCAGATATAGCCAGAGATGCTTTCCCTGTTTGCTGATAGATGATATTCCAAACTTCATACTTTCGCTATCTTTCGCCAGTCATTACTTGCACTAATGTAGATACCAAAGCATGCCACTATATTCCACTGATAGGTTGTGTACCCTTCATGATTGCTTTTACCCTCAGGTATGCAGTCACATGGCTTGCTGGAAAATCATTCATTGAGTTCGATGAGTTTGCGAGCTATAAACCTCCATGGCTAGTTCGGGGATTTCTCAGCCAGCCATCTTCATGAGTTGCACTCTGCTAATCCAAGCTGCGGATAGCCTTCAGCATCCTCTCGCTGACCTCTCCCAGGCATGTCCAAAGCATAGCAGGCGATATCCTTGGGCTCCACTGGGGGAATCATCCAACTATTGCTGGGGGATTTTCTATAGGATTCCTACGGCTCACAAAATATGAACTCATATGAAAAACTCTGAAAAACCTGGATTTTTATCATCCCTCTCACTTGATCCATACTCCTGTTGTCTTTGTTAGTCTGTCTACATGTGTATATATATATACTGTATATATATATACTGTATATATATATGCTTACACCATTTTACAACAACTGGATATATAGAGCGGAGATGAACCCCCACAATTTCCACTCAAACAGAAGATCGAACACTCAAGCTCCATGTGCTTTAGTGGGAATGGTTGGGAAAAGCAAATACACCTATATATATATACAGTATATATGTTGTTTGGTCCAATTGGTCTGGCTGTTTGGGATCGGATCCCAAGTGCAAAAAAACGAAGCTATTTTCACACGAGTTTCTCGCAAGATCCACCAAAGAGTTTTTGATAACCACTTGGATGTGAATTCCACGCATCGCAAGTCGTTTATAAGCTATATATATATATGATACTGATATATACCTACATATATTAATCTGTACATGTATATATGATATATGTATATACACAGTATACGTATATATATATATGTATATATGTAAATATATATATATATGTATATATATATATATATGTATACATATATATATGTATATATATATATGTATATATAAATATATGTATATATACATATTATATGTATATACACAGTATACGTATATATATATGTATATATATATATATATACATATGTATATATATATATATATCATATACGTATAACCCATGTATAACTGGATAATACCATGGTTACGGTATTTAGTATTAACCATATTACGATGCCTGGGTCCCGCCCCTTGTGTCCTTCGACATCTTTTGCACAACCGGGATGTACCTGAGGGCACAAGGCGCACGTCTATGCTTTTGGCTTTTAGTGAAGCGGTTGGCTAGAAACCCTTGGAGTTTTACATGTTTTCCCATCCAAAATTGAGGGTCTTGGCCCAATTTATCCGGCCAGTTCTGAATTCTTCATTGATGGCGACAGCTCTCTAATCAAGGCAATTAGGGGGAAGTCTCTTGTGACGGGCTCCCACTAGCATCCTCTCAGATCATCGGCACCTAAACATTTTATGTTGCAATTCAAGGTTCATAGTCACTCCTCGTCCTGTGATGTGCATCTGGTGAGCGCAAAACCATACTTGTCATAGATTGGAAAAGAGGTACACGCAGTGGGCAAGTTCCACCAAGCGCCCAGTTCACCTGTCATGCCATGCCCCAAGCGCCCCCAAGCTGGTTGAGCATGGAATCTTTGCCGCACCCACCAAGGATCACCAAGGACCAAGGTACGCTGAAGAACTTCCACCCAACCAGGGGAAGAAGAAGACTCGCGTCCTTTGGATCCGGAAATAGGCCGTGTCCAAGCAGCTTCTTCCAACTTTCACATGTTGGAATTGAACATCCACCCAAAGCGACTGGTCATTCTGTTGGTTTTAAGGAACCATTCCTGGCTTTTCCGTAGTAATCTAGTAACCAAACAATTTTGGCCAAAACCCATGAAGTGGATTAGAGTATGATGATTACAGGCAACATGTCTGGAGACACCCGCATGAAACTGCCTCATCTATATAATTATATATATATAATTTCATATGTTCATATTAGACAAGATGTGAATATATACAGTAGGTACCTAGACATCTGGATAAACTTCAAAATGCGGTATGTCTCCGCCAGGCTTCGATAGACCTGTGCCACCTTTATCCAGCCGCAGAAGCAAGTCTGGATCCTGCCATGGTCGATGAATGTCGATGCTCTCCGCAACTTCGTACGATGAAAAACACACCTCTCTCTTTGTACACAACGAATATATATATATGTATATGTATATGTATATGTATAATATAAATATGATTAAATATGACTCATACGGAAATATGTATGGAAATGTGTAGAGATATACTACACAGTCGATTACAGAATCAGGGGAATCAACGCTGAGATTTGCCAAGGCGCCTCTGCGGGATGTATCTGATCCTTCGGCCTCTCCTTACCTGGACAGTGACTTGGCCATTTTTCTCGCTGAATCATGACCTGTGAACCACTCCAACAACATACGCTTGGGGGGATTGGAATCGAATTCTTGGATAGTTGGTTTGACACACAAAATGCCGTACTAAACAAAAAGACACCACATGGGGTGGCCCTTAAATATACCTTGAACATTGGTTTCTACTCTCCTGCCATGGCACATGGTGGCTTTTTGGGTCTCAAACAATTGAAATAAAGGAAACGGACGAGTCAACACATCTTGATCAGTCTTGATCTCTGGATGCATAAACCTCACTTAAATTGAGTTTGACTGACTTGGGATTTGTATGACAGCATGTGGCTTTGGCTCAACACTGAGGCACCATTTTGGAGCCGTGAATTTCGGCCAAGAATTGCATGGTCTTGGTCCTAATCATTCGCCCAAACACCAAAAAATCACCCTTGAGTGGGCCCCAAAAATGACTGGATCTGAGACATTGCATGGCTTCTGGGCTGTTTACTCCAGGGATGGGATTGAATGATATTCACTGCGAAAAAGATCGTGGTGACTTCGGATGCTTTTCCCATCCAAAAGTCTGGCGGATTTTCCGCCGAAATCCTTTGAAGAAGATTCAGGTATGTAGTGACCATCCCCAACATGGTACCAGCTTTGTATCCACGTGGGGCTTCCTGGAGATTTTCCAAAGTTCTGGGAACAATCAATCATGGCCAATCTTAGATTGCATAAACAACACATATCTTTGACTAGCTGGTTAGGGAATATCAGGGAAAATCCAGATTTACAGTAAGCCGTAAGCCCCAAAAAAGATAAAAAGGCATTTCCAGGATGCTATGGATCATGCTCCAGAATTTCCAGATGTCCAACTGTTGCGCTTTTCGTTTTGGGGGTTGCCAGGCATGGCAGGCAAAGCCTTGGGACCCCCAAAGATAGCTGGTTAATGGATGTTTATTCCCCTATGGTAACAATCGGTTTTACCGTAAAAACCCATCCCCATATGGGGGTTTCCATAAATGGGGGTACACCAATAGCTGGATATTTTATAATTAACAATCCTATTAGAATCCCATTAAAATGGATGATTATCCCATGAAAAATCCCATTGAAATCCCATTAAAATGGACAGTTTTTAGGTACCCTCTGGTAATTTAACATAGCTATTGAAAATCACCATTTTTAATGGGAAAATCCACTATTAATGGTCATTTTCAATAGCTACGTTAAATTACCAGAGGGTACCCCTATTTTAGGAAACCCCCCATAGAGCAAGAACATCTTGCTGTGCCCAGCATTTTTTAACCACGTGACTCGGATCAAAAGGCCATGGCTGACCCCACATCATCTCAGACTGATAGAACCTCGGCAACTTTTTGCATCGGCGACAGTAGAAAAGGACCGGTGTGGACATGGATGAAATATGACATTTATGAACTGTGAACGTCTATAAACTATGAAATAATGATTCAGCATAGTGATACATGTTTATGATCACAATTCTTAGCATTCTGAAACTATAAACCGGAGATATTGATAGTCAAACAAGCAGCCATGTGGGTGGGCATCAAGTCTGACCCAAAGCCAAGCATTTCCGCAATGTGGATGGCAATTTTGGCAAAAAAAGATCGTGGCTGCCCTGAATCAATTTTTCTATGATACTCCAATTTACCTATTCATCCAATATCTAGCTTTGTTTCCTTTTCAAAGAACATACTAGATCATATCCATACTGGGTCCATACTACTAGATCTAATAATATCTAATATCTTCTGAGCAGTTTGAACATCACCAGTATTTTTTAACATCACTGGGAAAATTTGCAGCTCTGCCTGTCCCAAGGTTGACCATCACTTCCAAGAAACGGGCTCACCTTCACCCTGAAGCCAGGTTCCTGGCATGGGTACAATGAGGGCTAGAATACCGACACGTGTAGCATATTGATAAATAAATAAATAAATATATATATATACAATTAATATCAATTAATTATAATAATAATCATCATCATCATCAAACCAAAAACCCTACTACTACTACTACTACTAATAATAATAATAATAAATATATATATAATATGTTTTATATAATATATATTTTAATAGTGTGGTATGTTCCATTCTGGTTCCTTTGACTTGAACCACCCAGTTTCCAATTTTTCTATAATACAAGACCCAAATGGTTTATTGCGCAGCACCATTCGCAAGCATAACATGAATCAACTTGTTTTATTGCGAGGCGTTGACTTGTGATTTTGAATACTTTCTCAAATTCCTCATCACTTGCCAAAGCTCTTTTTAAGCTGACTGGTCCTGCAAGAAATGCCCCAAATTCATTGCCATAAAATGCGTGACTCTTGCTTCGTAATCTCTACGTCTATGTGTATGCAAAGGCATATATATATGATCTGTTCCATAGCTATGGCATGGGTGTATATTCCATCGTTTGGCCATGGTACATGTAATCAATGTAATCCCATCCCCCCAATATATGCCAATACACCGAACCCTAGCGTTGGATCTATTCATCCTCCCAAAGTCGATACCAAGGAGCAATGCCATAGTCTTGCAGCGTCAATTCCCTTCCGTGGATTCGAGGTCTTAGCACAAACCTGAGTCTGGATCCGGTATAGATCCTGACTGTCGGCGTTCAGTTTGCCAGGAACGCATCAAACAATATCTAAACCCGCTTGGTACTTCTGTAAAAGATATTTCCAAGAAAGAAAAGGGGTCTAATGATACTTCATGATCATTTCAAGTCTTTCATACACATCCCTTTTCCAACACAAATGATCTGAAATTGCTTCACCCACCTGTCAAACCACACGTACTTCTGCGAGTAGTTTCCTTGCAAAGGCTTCCGCCTGAAGGGTTTCGTTTTAACTGGGAATAAGAAGGGAGGGCACCAATTCGGGTTCAAAAATAGGGATGACCCCAACTGGTTACTTTTGAGAGTGGGGAACATGTTCACAATACATCTGAATTTTAGGCATCCTTTTTCAGACAAACCCATTTGGATGGTTTGCAAACGGCAATTTCAAAATTTCAAAATGTCTCAGATATTATGGGCCAAAATTGGAGTTGTCCACATCTAATCATTTGCAATTTGTTTTCATGAATTCGTCCATCAATTGGATCCAAAATGCACATGGGAGATGCCAAAAAAAAACACGCCAAATTTGACAACTCATCCCTGGAAAGTATTGGACACTCAAATGTTGCTTTCCCCAAATTGTTTACTGAATAAGGCCAAAATTCTGCAGAGGCAGTGGTCCCAAATCCTCAGGAACACCCCACGGGGCCGTGCCTGTATTCCGCGTCAAGGCGCAGCACCTCCGACATCAAGTGGTCATGCAACTGCTCCACCTTGCAGCACTCAGACATAGCACTGGGTTACCCCCTTTTTTCGTGGAAATTGGACACCTAATTTATTGGATGCCTGTACAAAGAGGCTGGATTTTCAGTTACTGTGGTTTTCCAGTGGACATCTCAGCTCGTCTACAATCCCGCCCAACGACCACGTAGACCTCGTTAGTTTGCCCATGTCTAGAGGAAAATCATTTTCCAACCCATTATTTGATAAGGTTTCCCCAAGGTGGAGGGCAACTGCGAAAGAAATTGCGTTCTTGACTTTGATGAGGAGTCATGTCATGTGCAGTATCCGTGCCAGTAGTGCCGCACAAGGCGGTGGCGGAAGTTTCAAAAAGAGGAAGCCTATAGGAGAGGTTCGTTGTTGTGATGCATGGATGGTAGAGCGAATCCACTGATGGACCGAAAGGTGGTTGGAGTTGTGTTTTTTGAAGTGGTTGCAATGGTTGCAGTGATCACCTCACCACAACTGCTGGATGTAGTGTTGTGTAGTGCAGATATAGTTGTAGTTGTAGTGTACTGTAGTGGAGTTGTAGTTGTGGTGTAATATACTTAGCGTAGTGCAGTTGCAGTTGTAGCTGTGGTGTGGTGCAACTAGTGTAGTGTAGTGTTGTGTAATGTAGTGTAGTTGTAGTTGCATTTGTATGTGTAGTTGTAGCTGTAGCGTGCTGCAGTGTAATTAGCGTAGTGTAGTGTAATGTAGTGTAGTTGTAATTGTAGTTGTAACTGTGGTGGTAGTGGTAGTAGTAGTGGTAGTAGTGGTAGTAGTAGTAGTAGTAGTAGTAGTAGTAGCTGTTGTTGTTGTTGTTGTTGTAGCTGTAATGTAATTAGTGTAGTGTGGTGTAATTAGATGTAATTAGCGTAGTGTAACGTAATTCGTGTAGTGTAATTCGTGTAGTGTAATGTAGCGTAATATGTTTGCATGTGTATTTGAGGCAGTAGTAGTAGAAGAAGTAGTAGTAGCAGTAGTAGCAGTAGTAGCAGTAGTAGCAGTAGTAGTAGTAGTAGTAGTAAGTAGTAAGTAGTAAGTAGTAAGTAGTAAGTAGAAGTAGAAGTAGAAGTAGAAGTAGAAGTAGCAGGAGGAGTAGTAGTAGTCGTCCTCGTCGTCGTCGTCGTTGCAGTTGTAGTGTCTATCTATCTATCTGCCTAGCTGCAAGCTTGAAAACGAAGCTATTCTGCGAGACTTCCCCAATTTTTTTGAACTTGACAACATCAAAAACGCAGCAATTCTGCGAGACATCCTCAATTTTTGAACTTGACAACGTCAAAAACGAAACAGATCTGCGAGACTTCCTTCAAAAATGGAAAGTTGAGTGCAGAGCTGGCAGAGCAGACGGCCTCTTACCAATGCGTTTTGCGATTTTTCCATTCCATCTGTCTAAAGTACTGCGCCTGCCACGAAAAAGTGAGGCCAGGTCCTACGAAGTGCTGCGCCTGTCACACATAATCATCTTAGCAAACCTGAAGATCTGATGCTCCAAAATGCAACCCCTCTCAGGAAATCAGCGCCCTGACCTATAACATCTCCGATGAACATTTCTCTTGTACTGCGCCTGCCAAGCGACATGCATCTTTGCAGATCCTCTTCATATGCCCCATGCCTGCCAACGTTTTTGAAACTGCTACAAAACCCTCACGCTTTGTCACTTTTGACAAGGTGCACAATCCCTTGCGCCTGCTGCGCGAAACGACATCTGAACGTCCAAAGTGGTCCGAACATTTAGTGTTTTGAACATTTTGACTTGGAAACGTGCTTCGCGCCACAACGGCGTACACTTTTTCGACAACTCAATTCCTAAAAGTTCTCCGAAGCTGCGGTGCTTTGTACATTTTGACTTCGAAATGTGCTTCGCACCACAACGGCGTGCACTTTTTCGACAGCGCAACTTCTAAAAGTGGTCCGAACATGAAGTGTTTTGTACATGTTGACTTGGAAATGTGCTTCGCGCCACAACGGCATGCACTTTTTCGACATCTCAACTTCCAAAAGTGGTCCGGCGTTGGTGTGCTTTGTACATTTTGATTTCGAAATGTGCTTCTCGCCTTAACGGCGTGCAATTTTTCATCTCTCATCTGGCCAGATGGCTCTGCACCAGCCGCTTTAGCGAGCCTACTTTTCGATCCTCCGGAGCCACAAATCATTGGAAAAACGCAGTGAACCGAGACTTTTCTACCTTTTCGCGCGCCTGCATCTTCTTTCCTCTGACTCTTTCTCTTCTCTGATCTTCTTTCTTGTCTCTTCTCTTCTCTGACTCTTCCCACCTCTGCTTTCCATCTGTCCATATTCTCGGAAGTTTGACTTCTAAACTTCCTTCAATAAATGTTTGGATGAATAGGAACTAAAGTCCCTTTGTTTTTCGATAAATGTTGGAACCCTTTTCGGAATGATGATGAACCAATTTCCTTTTAAACATCATAATTTTGCTGTTTTTTTGGATGACAATTCAACCATTTTTTTTGCTGGACGGAGAAGAGACTGAATTTTTAGGGGAGCAAACAGCTGAAGAATGGGGGATCCAAAAAAAGTAAACAGCGACTCTCCCCAAACAGCACATTTTGGGATATACCCAATTTTGGGATTTGGGATATACCCAATTTTCGGACAAACCCACATATCTCGAAAGCTGGATAGTCCAAGATCCCCAAAGTCAGAAGCCAATTCTTGAATTCACTCCATTTTGGGTCACAATACTCAACCTTGTCAATAGCTTTGTAGGTGAACATCCATGCTACGCAGCAGGCTAGCTACAATTCTCCATTTCAGTTCAAACAAACACAGGTTACATGAAATATATCCATACATATATATATATAAATGAAATGTGTTATATATATACATATATAGAGTAGTAAATACATGTGCATATGTAAAGGTTGATATCATCTAACATGCATCCTCGCCCTGCCCAGGCACCGTCCAGGTGTCTTCGACCCAGGTGAGTTGCATCTCAAATTGCAGGGATTCGGGATGATCAAAACCCAACATAATCCTCGGCTTTGTCTGGGAATGGGGTATATGAGGTTTGTTTCCACTGTAGATGGCCTAATAAAATCAGCAACATGTCTGGAAATGGGGCTTGTTTCCCCTATCCATGGCTAATGGGGTATATCATATACCCTATCCGTGGCTATCCTCATGATCTAATGTCTGAAACATGTTTCCCCTTACTGTAAATGGCTATTCTATTAAGATCTGAGTAAAATGAGGACTAACCAATGGATTTATGTGTGCGCGATTTTCAGACAGCGGCAAGGCAGGGGTTTTAAATACTGCCCAAGTGACAATGTAGAACGCGATTGAGGAAGGGCACATAAAAAACTAGACATATATGGGATTATATGATATTATATGGTGTAAATACAAAAGATACAAAGTGATGCAGCGCGTATGTAGAGAAAGGTGTGACAAATGAAGCAATTAGGATTGTGATTTTATGAAGTATACATGGCAACCCTGAGGCAAGAAACATGGCCAACACGCCAAATTCCAAATTGTATCTACAGTTTACATAATGTACGATATATGATTGGCAGTTTCAAGCCACGCCAAACATATGCTGGTCAATTCAGACTATACCTTCCCAGGTAGCAAACGGACATAGGGTTTAATCATCTCAGCAGGATTCAACCACTATACCTCTACAGTTTATAAGCACATAACATACATACATGCACATAATATATATATATATATATAATTGTGTATACACATAATACACATGTATATATTGTATATATATGTATATATATATAGATACAACATTTCAATGATGATGACAATGATGACAGTGATGGCAATGATGGCAATGATGATGATGATGATGCTGATGATGATGATGATCATAAACAATGCACAGTATGCATGTATGAAAAAAATGACACACACACATCACGCGTATAAATTTGATTGCTATATAGATCATTTTATATGACTTACATCCCGATATGTAAAACTACAATCAATATATGATTTATGCATAAATATACACACGTATATACATATTCCACATATATGTATATATTATACACATATTCCCTACACGGTGATGCCAGTGATACCCTCGACAAGGAACTTTTGTGACTTCCCTTCGATCGCGGTGTAGATCTCATCCTGGTGGTCGTGATGAATGGATAACGGGGCGATGCCAGATGCGGGGGTAGTGATCTCAAGTATTTGTTGTCGGATTTGTCTGAAAATGAACCATTCTGAAATCCAAAGAAAGAATAATCATTATGTATATATAAATATATATTGCAATGTTGGATTATTTTGGGGCATTCTGCGCAGTATGTTCAAATATTTGCGTTTTTCCTCATATCATTTTATAATGTTAGTATATTTCAATATATTTTTCTTTAAATCTTCACTCCTTCTTCCAAAACATGTTTTGATCATTGGGCATGGACCCTTCAACCCCCTCAATGCTGCCTTTCGCTAGGCCATGTCTGTTTCAATGAAGAGTCTGCCAACTCCGATGGATTCCCGTGGATTCTTGTGGTTTCTTATGGATTCCTGAGCATTCCTGTGGTTTCCGGGGAACTAATATGATTTTTGGAATTCCTCATTGTAAAATACCAAGTATGGCTAGCCCCAGGGCATGCTCCTTTGGACTGCTTGGACTCCCAGCTTCACACCCGCCAGAAGGCCTCCTGCTGCTTGGGCTTCCGCCGCCGCTCTTCCGCTTCCCGTAGCTTTAACTCATAGCTCTTTGGCAT